TCTGTCCTTTCACTTCCAGGCACGTCCACAGCTGAGCATCCTTTCGTCTTTGGCCCAACCACTTCATTAGCTCTGGGGCTACTTGTACTTGTCCTCCGCTCTTCCTCAGAAGCATGTTGGATGCCTTTCGAACTGAGGGGCTCATCTTCCAGCGTCATATCTTTTAGCTTTTTGTTTCTGTTCATGGGGTTTTTTTTTTTTGGCAAAGATACTGGAGTGGCATTGCCAATTCCTCCTCCAGGCGGATCGCATTTAGTCAGAACTCTCCACTATGTCCTGTCCGTCTTGGGTGTCCCCGCACAGCATAGCCCACAGCTTCTCTGAGTTACTCAAGCCCCTTCGCCATGACAAGGCAGCAACCCATGAAGGGGAGGAGAAATGTAGGGAACAACAACAGCTACTCTTTGTGGCCTTCATAGATCTCACAAAGGACTTTGATTTCGTTAGCAGGGACAGCCTTTTTAAAATAGTTTCCAAAATTGGATGTCCATCCCGCTGATGATGCAGCCATTGTTGCCCACTCTGCTGAAGACCTCCAACAACTCATGAATCATTTTAGCAAGACCTGCCAAGTTTTTGGATTAACAATCAGCCTGAAGAAAACACAGGGTGTGGACTCACCTCCCTCTATCACCATCTCCACACAAGAATTGGAAGTTGTTCATGACTTTGTGTACCTTGGCCCTATCCCTAGATGTCGAGCTGGATAAATGCATTGGCAAAGCAGCCACTATGTGGCTCTAGACTCACAAAGAGAGTACTGTATGGCTCAATAAGAAGCTGATGGCATATACGAAGATCCAGTTCTACAGAGCACGTGTCCTGAGCACACTCCTGAACTGTAGTGAGTCCTGGACCCTTCTTGCATGGCAGGAGAGGAACACGTTCCATATACGGATATTTGATACCACCTGGCAGGACAAAGTTCCAAACAGAATAGTCCTAGACAAGCTGGAAATTTTCGCATGTATACATTACTGAAACAGTAATGTCTACGCTGGCTTGGGCATGTTGTGAGAATGGCTGATGGTGGGATTTCAAAAGATCTCCTGTATGGAGAATTAGTGCAGGGAAATTGCCCCAGAGGGAGACCACAGCTGCAATACAAGGATATCTGCAAATGGGATCTGAAGGCCTTAGGAATGGACCTCAACAGATGGGAAACCCTGACATCTGGGCGTTCAGCCTGGAGGCAGGTGGTGCATCACGGCCTCTCCCAATTTGAAGAGACACTTGTCCAGCAGGCCGAGGCAAAGAGGCAGTCACGAAAGCAGCAAAATCAGGGAGCTGGACGGGACAGATTGTATTTGTCTTCAGCGTGGAAGGGATTGTCCCTCTCGAATTGGCCTTCTCAGCCACACTAGAGGCTGTTCCAAGACCTCTATTAAGAGCACATTACCATAGTCTCTCAAGACTGAAGGATACCTATTACTACCACAGATAATTAGATGCTTTTGCATGCATTTAATTTAGCACAGACTTGGACAGGAACAGATCAAAGTAAAGCCAGCAAAGACTTTTCTCTTTGGGCAATACTTCCCTCAGTAATTAGCTACTTCTGTGATTTTTTTAAAGATGGATTGTTATGCCTTACTGCTTTGACTGGATTTTTAGAACTACTTGTGTTTTCCATGTTTGTGTTTTCCATTTCTCAGAGTGGCATTGATTCGTTTGTGTTTTTTTCATTGTATACTTATCGTTCTTAGCTTTAATATTGCCTTTTAATCTGTGACGATTGTCATTCATCCAGGTGACGTTATCTGGAAGTTGAGTCATGGCATTAGGTTGAAAAAATGTTTCATTACTCAGACAAGTAGCTTCTTTAGTCTGAGGAGAGTTGGTAGGAGACCCCTGAAATCTCTATCCTCCAGGTTGGTTTCACTTCCTCCTGGTCTGAATAGGCTCATTAGAAAGACAAAGGACTGGGCCCGAGGGATAATCCCACTTCTGCAGTCCTTCTCCACCCATTGTCCTGGGTCATCTTTCTGGTGTGTGTGGTCCTGATCTTTCTGAGGAGAAAGAAAATCCCTCACTCAACAGGGGTGGAGGCCTTAGATACAATCTGTCTCTTATCTATCCTGTTGCCAGGATCACACCTACCAGAAAGACCACTGATAAGACCCATGACAATGGGTGGAGAAGGACTGCAGAGGTGGGATTATCCCTCACCCCCCAGTCCTTTGTCCCTCTAAGGAGCCTATTCAGACCAGGGGGAAGTGAAACCCAACGTGGAGGATATATCAGGGGGTCTCCCACCAACTCTCCTCAGACTGAAACATTTCAGCCTCATAAGAACTCCAGTTGCCCATCACTCAGCTTCCAGATTGCCTTTTAATAAGGTACGTTGCCTCTTGGTTCTTAGTTTTAAATATTTTTTTTTTTAATGATGGCCGCCACCGTGGTATACCCATAGTTTTCAACTTCAGTTACTGTCTTTCACTGCTGTAGGCCGCCTTGGGTTCTTTTAAACGAGAAAGGCGGGGTAAAGAATATTTTAAATAATATCTATTAAATAAAGGTAGTGGTGGCGGAGGCAGCGGCGGCGGATGCCGGTAGGGGGCGCCGACTTCCCCAGCGCTGCCGGGTCCCCCACTCACCGAAAAAGAGGAGGAGGAGGAGGAGGAGGAAGGCCAGGGAGCAGGCAGGGGTCCGTCCGGGGAGGGCGGAGGGGGAGGCTGGACCTTCTTGGGGCCGAAC